GAGCTTCATTCTGCGTCCCCCGCAGCGCCCCAACCGCCGCCGCCGCTCTCGCCGCCGCCAGCCCTTGTCCCGCCGCCCAAGGACGCGCCCGCACAGCCTCGCCGCCGCTCGCCCGGGCGCCCAGCGCGGAGTGCCGCGGCGGCCGGCCGCCCCGCCCGCCCCTCGGGAGGCCTGACTCGGGCCCCGGGCGACTCGCCACCGCCTCCGGCCGGCCGGCCCCCGCCCGCCCCCCCGCCCTGTCCCTCCCCCCCGATGGAGAACGGCGGCGGCGGCGGCGGCGGCTGCCGGGTCCAGCCGGGCTAAGGCAGGAGGGCGGCTCGCCCCGCCGTCGGCTCCGAGTCCCCCGCGATGGCGAAGAATGCTGGCGCCGCACCATGAAGCTCCTGCGGCAGGCTCGGCCGCAGCCCGCCCGGAACGCCGCCCCGCTCGCCTGCCTCGCCTGCCTCGTGGCGCAAGCGTGGCTGGTGGTGTGCGCCGTGGCGGCCAGGCCCGGGCCGCAGAGCTGCCCCCCGGTCTGCTCCTGCAGTAGCCAGCTGAGCAAGGTGGTCTGCACGCGGCGGGGGCTGGCCGAGGTGCCGCCGGGCATCCCCTCCAGCACTCGCTACCTGAACCTGATGGAGAACAGCATCAAGGTGATCCAGGCGGACACCTTCCGCCACCTGCACCACCTGGAGGTGCTCCAGCTGGGGCGCAACGCCATCCGGCAGATCGAGGTGGGGGCCTTCAACGGGCTGGCCAGCCTCAACACCCTGGAGCTCTTCGACAACTGGCTGACGGTGGTGCCCAGCGGGGCCTTCGAGTACCTGTCCAAGCTGCGGGAGCTCTGGCTGCGCAACAACCCCATCGAGAGCATCTCCTCCTACGCCTTCAACCGCGTCCCGTCCCTCATGCGCCTGGACCTGGGCGAGCTCAAGAAGCTCAAGTACATCTCCGAGGGGGCCTTCGAGGGGCTCTACAGCCTGAAGTACCTGAACCTGGGCATGTGCGCCATCCGGGAGATGCCCAACCTCTCCCCTCTGGTGGGGCTGGAGGAGCTGGAGATGTCCGGCAACACCTTTCCGGCCATTAAGCCGGGGGCCTTCCACGGACTGAAGTCACTCAAAAAGCTGTGGATTATGAGCGCCCAGATCAGCCTGATCGAGCGCAACGCCTTTGACGACCTCACGGCGCTGGTGGAGCTCAACCTGGCCCACAACAACCTCACCTCTCTGCCCCATGACCTCTTCGCGCCTCTGAGATACCTGGTGGAGCTGCACTTGCACCACAACCCCTGGAACTGCGACTGCGACATCCTGTGGCTCTCCTGGTGGCTGCGGGAGTACATCCCCACCAACTCCTCTTGCTGTGGGCGCTGCCACGCCCCCACGCACATGCGGGGCAGGTTCCTGGTGGAGGTGGACCAGACAGCCTTCCAGTGCTCGGCCCCCTTCATTATGGATGCCCCCCGGGACCTCAACATCTCCGAGGGGAGGGTGGCCGAGCTCAAGTGCCGAACCCCGACCATGTCCTCCGTGCGGTGGCTGCTGCCCAACGGGACAGTGCTGAGCCACGCCTCCAACCACCCCCGGATCTCCGTCCTCAACGACGGCACCCTGAACTTCTCCCAGGTTCTCCTCACGGACACGGGGCTGTACACGTGCATGGTCACCAACGTGGCAGGGAACTCCAACGCCTCGGCCTACCTCAACGTGAGCACGGCTGAGCTCAACACGTCCAACTACAGCTTCTTCACCACGGTCACTGTGGAGACCACGGAGACGTCGCCCGAGAACATCTTCCCCAAGTTCACCAAGCCGGTGCCGACCACCTCCACGGGCTACCAGCCGGCCTACACCACCACCACCACCGTGCTCATCCAAACGACCAAAACGCCCAGGCAGGACGCCACCTTGGACAGCAACGACAAGATGCAGACCAGCCTGGACGAGGTGATGAAGACCACCAAGATCATCATCGGCTGCTTCGTGGCGGTGACCCTGCTGGCGGCAGCCATGTTGATCGTCTTTTACAAACTTCGCAAGCGTCACCAGCAGAGGAGTACGGTGGGGGCCGCCAGGACCGTGGAAATCATACAGGTGGACGAAGACATTTCGGCCTCGGCGGCGGCAGCATCCACCACTGCCGCCACCGCCACCCCTTCGACCGCGTCCGGCATGTCAGGTGAGGGGGCAGTTGCGCTGCCGGCTATTCATGACCACTACAACACTTACAAACCCTCCCAGGGGGCCCACTGGACAGAAAACTGTTTGGGGAACTCTCTGCACCCCACGGTCACGACTATTGCCGAACCGTATATAATACAGACCCACCCCAAGGAGAAAGTGCAGGAAACTCAGATCTGACTCCTTTCCTCGCCCCCCCTCCCCCCCCCGGCCATTATTAAATAAATGCAATAGGATGCACAAGAGACAACAAAACCAACTTTCCTACTACCCAGAGGGAGGAGGGCAGTCCCCCCCCTTATATGCTTCTATATTAAGTCTTGGGCTGAAAGAAGAAGCAGATTCTACTAAAATGTAAAGAAAGGCCTGTTTTCTCAGTTGATAGCTCTATTGAGAAGGAAGCGTAACTCAAGAGTCCCCCCCCACCTCCCCCCCCCCCCAGAGACAGAGGCACAGTTCCCCATGGCGAGTTTCGGCAGCAGACCTATTTAAAGCAAAAACATAAAAACAGCCTTGCTCCCGAAAACAGTGGCGGAGAAGATAAAACAGAAAATTTCAAAACCAAGGAACCGTGGGGGGGGGAGGGAGGGGGGAGTTGTCCTTTTTAGAAGATGTTACTTAGAATGCAGTAAAAACAAACCCGTTTCTATAGAGACGCTCTTTTCTTAAAGCCTTGGAAAAAGCCGTCTCCATATTTACAGTTATCTTATTTCAAAAAGAGAAAAAAGGGGGTGGGAGGGCGGGGGGAGGTGCACCGAGGGTTTGTACTGTGCCAAATGTTACAAATGCAATAAAAAGGTCATTTTTATTTATTTCGTTTTTTAAAGACAGTTACCAGAAGGGAATTCAATACTTGTATCAAATTGCAAAAAAATTAAACCAGCAAGATTCATTGCTCTGTCCTCTCTCAGCGAGGATCATGGGGTGGGGGGCTGGCGGGGGGGGGGGGATTGCACAGGGCTGGGGGGGGTGTTTCTGAGCTGCTTGCTTGCTCTCCTTCCCCTCCAGAGGGAAAAAAGAGGGGCTGCTTTGGCACCCACCGGCTTCTCTCTCTCTCTCTCTCTTTTGCAAGCCCTGCGCCGCATTCCTGCGGTCCTGTCCTCTCGGTTAACCCTCTCGGGGCGCAGGGCCTGGTGCACGGAGGAGGAGCAGGACACGCCAGGGAGGCCAGTGTGGTGGGTGGGCACCCCACGTATGATCCCGCCCCCCCTTCCCCCCCTGGGCTGCTCCCCCTCCGCCCTCCAGCTGCTGCTGCTCTGCCCCTCCCATCTGTCGGAGGGCACAAGCCCTCTCTGTCTGCTTCCCCACGGGGAGGGCGATGCGCCCACCCCACTCCCATCACATCCTCCGGTGGGGAGGGGCAAACTCTGCCTCCCGGGCTATGAAACCCCCCATTGTCCTGAGCCTGGCTCTCCCGGGCCTTGGGGGGAGGGAGGCAGGGATCGGGGCCATGGGCAGAGAGGGGGAAGGCAGGGAAGGAGGGGGGGGGGCGCTGGCCCCAAAGGCAGAAGCTGTAACTCTGAGGCAACTGAAGGTTCCTATTTTAATAAACCTTGTTGAGGTTTTTAAGAATGCCTTGTCCCTAAACAGCCACCTCCAATGACAAAGGTGGGGGAGGGGGAGAGCAGCCCCAGCCTCAAAGATTTGGGACCCCGAAACTGGATAAGGCAGGCCGGCAGGGAGGGACCCTCCTCCAGCCCAGCCCAAGGAGCCCCTGGGGCTCAGGTTGGCCGCTTCCCTTTGGCTGTTACAAGTGCAGTGGCTGGGGGGGGGGGATGCCGGAAGGCAAGGTGCCCCCCACGGAGAGGAGGCAGTCCCCCTCCCTGGCGCCCAGCCAGAGACAAGGTAGTCACACACGGGGTGCCTTGGAAAAGGGGCCCTGGCTGTGGGGCTCAGCCGCTTCTGGCTGACCTCCTGGTCTCTTGGGGGAGGGTCTCCCCCACAGGAGATCTTCAGCCTTCGATCAGGACAGCCCCCCAAGGGGATGGGGTCCTGGAGGCCTTGGGCCCAAAGGGCGATGCTGCAGGTGCCACTCAAGAGGGAGATGCCTCCACGTGAGCCAGCTGGACAGGAAGGGGGGGAGCAAGAGGGCTACTTCCCAGGGGGGGGGGGCAAAGATCCTGGTCTCATTTTGGCCAGATGGCTGGCCCAGGAGAGTCCCCAGGGGGCCCAACCCTCCAGGGGCCTCACACCGGCAGTGGCCTCCTCCCCCCCAGGGCCCGTCAGCTCTGTAGGGCTCGGGAGGAATGCACCCCGCCCCACTTGGGCAAAACCAGGACCGGCTGCCCTCCGCTTGGCCTCCTTTCCCGAGGACCAGAGAGAGAGTCAGTCAAGGAAGGGCCCCATCCGGTTGTGTCTCCGGCACCCCTTGCCCTGCTGACCCCCCCTGCTTGGCAATTTGGGACTGGGTCTCCAGCCCTTGCTCCCTGCCAGCACATCCCCCCCCTCCGCCCCACTGGGTGACAGTTTTCCTCTAATGGGGGGGATGGGGGGCTCCCCAGAAGAAACGGGGAAGGCGAGGAGGGCAGAGCGTATTTTGCCTTGCGAGGGCAGCAGCCCCAGAAGATCTCCTGCCAGAGCTACGGAAGGAGGAAGGGCCGGAAGGGAAGTGGCCAAGCCAGCTCTTTCTCTCCTCTGAAAGCTGACTCTGCAGCTGACTGCTGGGGCCTGGGGAGGGAGGAGGGAGGGAGGGAGGGGAGGGGGGCCAGCTGCCACAGCATCCAACTCAGGGGCTGCTGCTGCTGCTGGGCATCCAGGCGGCACAGAAGGCAGAGAGAGAGAGAGAGGGCCACTCTCAGGCCAGGGAGCCAAGGGGGCCGGAGCCGGGATAGGGGGAAGCAGCCAGAGGACCCCCGCCCCCTCCCCAAGAGGCACTGGGGTCAACACCCTTTGTCACAGGCTCAGGAGGCTGTGTGGATTCAGAGGGGAGGAGCACACAGGTGGACGAAGGCAGGTGGGGGGGGAGGCAAGCCGGTTGCCCCCTCTGCCCCCCCCCGGCCCATCACCCCACCAAACCCCAGAGCAAAACATGACATCACAACAAACCCACTAAGAGTAATTATAATCAGCACCACTAAAAGAGTGAAGCAGAAGCTGGAAAGAGAAAACTCTTTGTGTTGTGCTCCAGATGAACTGTTAGCGGATTCAAATAGGCCATGAAGGGGCTGCAATTGGCTCAGAATTAAGGGGCGCCTGGGCAGGGGGTGTCGATTCCCCAGGAAGAGTCCCGCTGGGCCCCCCCAGGTCATCCCCTGGGCAGCTCGGAGCAAAAGCCCCTGGGGGCTGTTCGGGAGGAAAGGGGCGCCGGGGAGCCCCAGAATGCCTTCCCTTCCTGCTCCTCTGCTTCCCCCCCTCCCGTCTCTCTCAAGCCTCAGCTGGTGGGGGGGGATGCTTGGTCCGGCCAGCCACGCCAGAAAGCATCTCTGCCCCCCCTCCCAGGGCCACTCCAGCCCTCGGCCCCCAAAGCAAGGGGCCGAGGGGTCCAGCCTGCCTTGCCCCCCTCTCCCACTGCAGCACCTTGGCAAAAGCGAGGGGCCGGGGAGGACAGCTCTGCCTCCCTGTGCCCCCCCCCGCTGACACAGGGAAGCATGAGATATGTTTAAACTTTGATCTACTGTCTTTAATCTCCGTATTTTATGGCGTCCAGGGGGCTGTATTTTTGTTAACATCATCCTCACTGAGGCATCACTTCAGGATTTACTGTTGACAGAGCCCCGGAGAGTCCCTGCCCAGGAGGACCGATGGCTCCGGCCTCCGGGCACTGGAAGGCAGGCAGGCAGGCAGAGAGACAGACAGACAGACAGACACCCCCCCCCAACAGACCCCAGCATGCAAATGCTTAGCATCCATGTCCCCTTCCCCAAAATCGGCCTCAAATGCACGGAAAGGGGGCTACTAGAGAAAAGGGAGTGGAGAGAAAAATGACCCCTCCCACGTTCTTCTGAAGGTCGACAGCTGCCGGTCAACTGCACCCGGCCCACGAACGAAGGGGCCAAGCCACACCTGGGTGGAGAGGGGCTCCTCTCCTCACCCTTTCCTGAGGGCACTGCGGCCCCCTCCTCTCACCCGCCCCCCCACAGGGCCCAGGGCAATGGCGGCCACAGGCTCTCCAGGCCCAGCGAGGGAGGGGAGGCTGAGGGGGGAGCTGGGCAGCGGCAGCCTCTGCTGGAGTCACAGGCCCAAACCGCAGGCAGCCCCACAACTGGCGCAGCTCTCTTGCAGGAGGCACCCAGGATAGGCGCCTGGCAGCCAAGGTCCCTTCAGCCTGGGACAGGGGAGCAAACAAGCCAGAGATCGCAGCTGAGCCTCTTTTCTCAGGACCGAGACGGAAGGAAGGAAGGAAGGAAGGAAGGAAGGAAGGAAGGAAGGAAGGAAGGAAGGAAGGAAGGAAGGAAGGAAGAGAGGGAGGGAGGGAGGGAGGAAGTCTGAGCTCAGGGTGCGCCCCACGCTAGACTAGGCGAAGGCGAAGGCGGGGTCAGGCGCTTTATACGTTGACCCAATCCTGTAAGCTCCGATAGCATGTATTTGTAGCCTGCTGTAGGAATGTGGGAATTGTAGCTTGTTAACCCAGGCCTGGGAGGTTGTGGGAATCCACAAGGGGTGATCCTTCAAGCAATAGGTGAACTCTGTCTATTCGCAAAGGACCCCATGTTGGTTCCCCCCCCCCACGTGCTCTTCCTGCTCCTCCCTCTGGGGACCAGCAGCCCAGGAAGCATCATGCCGGAGCAGCAATTAAAGGCAGGGAAAGGAGCTCCTGGCCTCGTCCTTTCGCCTGCCCACCTCTGTCCTCCTCAAGCCTTCTGCCGATGACCAACCGCCTCGAGGCGTTTCTTTCCTGCTGGTGACTCAGTCCTCAGTCCTCCAGTCAGCCCGTCTTCCTTCCATGGCTGGCTCTTCTTGAAGGATGACGACCCCTTCCTTCCCACTCCTCTCGAGAGGCTGTTCCCTTTTCCCCGGTGGGCCCAACTTCCTCCCTCCCTCTCCTAGAACGAGTGGGCAGAGTCACTCGCTTACAGACGGCCATCTTCCTTGCATCCGTCACAACAGATGCCAGGCTACCCACCACCGTTCCACTCTCCTGGGCACATCCTAGGCCACCCTCACTCCGCCTTTGGGGAACATCCATCCACGGCAGGCGCAACCCTCTGTTTGCGCAACCTCTCCACCCTCCTATGTCTAAC